CCACGGCGGCGCGCTCGTGCGCCGCTCCCGTGCGTGCGTCACGGCCATCACGTGGCTCGTGCAGCTTTTCGTGGAGGAGTCGGCGCTATCGGTGCGCCTCGCGGCGCCGTCGAGCGGCGTGATGATGGAGCACCTGCGCAAGGTCTTCAATCTCGTGGCGCAAATGGACACGCTGGGCTACACCGACCCCGCGCTGATGCCGCAGCGGAGCGCGAAGGCCCTGTTTGACGCGGTGCGGGCAGTGCGGCTGGCGTGCGGGCAGAAGGCACACGACCTCCTCGTAGAAGAGGCAAGAAAGGCGGCCGCAGCGCAGCAGCTGCCCACTGGCGGCGGCGGCGGGGGTGGTGGTAGGTTGGAATGAAGTCAGAACAGAAGAAGAGAGATAGCGAGAGAGAAACAGAAGGGGAATGAAACGAAGGGTGAGAGTGCAAGTGATGTCATATTCCATTTATATATTTATAAGGAAGCGCATCGCGTGTTAACGAAGAGAGCAGGAGAGACATACAAAGGGTGGCTGAAGGATGCAGTTGCGTGTGTTTCCGCTGGAATAAGTCTTTTCTGTCGTGTGTTGTGTACATGTTTCTTGGTGTGCTGCGGCTTTTCTTCCTTCTTACTGTTCTGTGTTCCTTTGTAGCATGGGAGGGAGGGGGGTAGCGGGGCTACCCACCGGTTCAGGAGTGCCCGTTAGGTAGTTGCTGCTGCGGCGGGTGAAACGGGGGAGTACAAGGAGAGTGGGGGTTGTGGAAGTGGTGGCGCGATGAACGGCGCACACGCAGGCGCTGTGGTGCCACGCCGGTACAATTTCTTCTCCGCGAATCGCTCCGAGCCCGCTGACGTGCGTGGGCCCTTCTCCGAATACCCGCAACAGCAGCATTCAAAGCCACCAGCGCCTGATCAGCAGCAGCAGCAGCAGCAGCCGCTGGCCTCTGTTGCACTGCGTGAGGCGATTGACGTGCAGGCGGAGACCCTCTCTGCGATTGCACGGGTGGAGCATGCAATAAACACCGCGGAGCAGCTCGGCGAGGAGAGCCGTAAACANGGCGGAGACCCTCTCTGCGATTGCACGGGTGGAGCATGCAATAAACACCGCGGAGCAGCTCGGCGAGGAGAGCCGTAAACAGCTTGAGGAAGACAGAACCATCATTGAAGTCATTGACACGGCGTTAGAAAAGAATGAGTCGGCCTTGCGCCGGGCAAAGCGGGATGTGAGTTGGCTGTGGGTCCATCTGCAGAAGGACAAGGTGTTTCTCTGCCTCTTCGCTGTGGCTGTGTTGTTGTCGGTGGCCGCCATTATTGTGGCTGTTGTGCGCAAACGGCGAGGATGACGTTTTGTCTATATATTGCGCGTGTTGCTTCTTGCTACTACCGTCTCCTCTCTTTCTATAGTTTTTTTTTTTTT